AAAAAAAAATAATGATGATAATAGGCAAGGCCTAAGTTTTATTTATTTTTTGCCACTCCTGGGACTTGAACTCAGGGCCTGGGCACTGTCCTTTTGCTCAAGGTTAGCATGCTACCACTTGAGCCACACTGCCACTTCCAGCTTTTTCTGTTTATATCTTACTGAGGAATCAAACCCAGGGTTTCATGCATGCTAGGCAAGCACTCTACCACTAAGCTACATTCCTCCCAGCCTGATGAAGCCCTAAGGTTGTGTTTTGTTTGTTGGTAGTGGGGCTTGGACTCTGGGCCTGGGCCCTATCCCTCAGCTCTTCAGCTTATTTAGTGTTCTACCAATTGAGCCGCAAGACCACTTCTGGTTTTCTGGTGGTTTATTGGAGATGAGAGTCTTACAGACTTTCCTGCCCGGGCTGGGTTTGAACCGTGATCCTCAGAACATGTGTGAGCTACCAGTGCCTGGTGAGGTCTAAGTTTTAAATTGCTTGCTGCTTTGTGTGACATGGTAGAGTCTCAGTGTCCCTTTGGATTCCACGTTGGACAGCTGTGAATCAGCTTTGTGTGCATTGTGTCCAGGCTGTATTCACTACCCTCTGTTCAGTCGCTCACTAGCCATTTTGGTTATCACAGCAGCTGTTCTGCTCCTGCAGTGATTGTGTGCCAGTAACCAAGGGGCTCCCATGGCCCCAAACCCAGAGACTTGGAAATGCCAAAGAGAAGCCAGGAAGAGCTTCCTTTAAGTGAAAAGAGAAGGTATTCCAAGAGAGGGAGAGAATCACATTCATCATGTGTATGTGTGCACGGGTGTGCATCAGTCCTAGGGCTTAAACTCAGGGCTTGGGTGCTGGCCCTTAGCTTTTCCCCTGGAGGCTAGTGCCCTATCCCTGGCCCTTGCCTGTTGTATTGGAATAGCTATCCTTAGGGTTACTACTCTTGGTTGTTTTTTGTTTGCTTGTTTTTGTCGGTTGTGGGGCCTGAACTCTAGGCCTGGGCGCTATCCCTCAGCTCTTCAACTCAAGGCAAGCACCCTACCACTTGAGCCACAGTGCCCCTTCTGGCTTTTTCTGTTTATGTGGTGCTGAGGAATCGAACCCAGGGCCTCATGCATGCCAGGCAAGCATTCTGCCACTGAGCCACCTTCCCAGCCCCAGGGTTACTACTGTTAAGTCCTAAGTTCCCTCCACCATATTCACCAAGTGCAAACACCCTGTGACAGTAGTGCCTGGAAGTTGGTCAGGGGCATTGGGAGCATAGGACAGGGAGAGGCAGTGGACTGGACAGGAGAGAGTCCCTGACTGGTGGTGCCTGCCACACTTATTCAGGCCCGGCTAGAGCGGGACCTGAGCAACAAGAAGATTTACCAGGAAGAGGAGATGCCAGAGTCCGGTGCGGGCAGTGAGTTCAACCGGAAGCTGCGGGAGGAGGCACGCCGCAAGAAATACGGCATCATCCTGAAGGAGTTCCGGCCTGAGGACCAGCCCTGGCTGCTGCGCGTCAACGGCAAGTCTGGCCGGAAGTAAGTGACTTCGAGGTGGTGGGGTCCAGCCTGTTCACCCCGCGCGCTTCCCAGCTGTGTGATCAAGGTACTGGCATGTCCTCCCTCTTGAGGGTTGTTGTTGTTGGTGGTGGTGGTCTTGGGGCTTGAACTCTGGGCCTGGGTGCTGCCCCTCAGCTCTTTAGCTCAAGGTGAGCACTCTACCACTTGAACCACAGTGCCATTTTCTGGTAGTTAATTAGAGATGAGAGTCTCAGGGACTTTCCTGCCCAGGCTGACTTTGAACCACAATCCTCAGATCTCAGCCTCCTGAGTAGCTAGGATTACAGGCATGGGCCACCAGTGCCCAGCCCTCTGAGGGATTTTTGTGCTCGTGCTTGAACTCAGGGCCTAGGCCTTGTCCCTTAGCTTTTTTGCTCAAGGCTGGCATTCTTGCCATTTGAGCCACAGCTCTACTTCCAGCTTTTTGCTGGTTAACGGAGGTGAGAATCTCATAACTTTCCTATTCCGGCTGGTTTCAAGCTACAATCCTCAGATCTCAGCCTCCTGAGTAGCAAGGATGACAGGCGTGAGCCACCAGCGCCCAACTAGGGCCACACTTCGGAGGAGGCAGGGGTGGGGGTGATGGTCGGGTGGCAGTGCCTGACCAAGGTTCCCCACAGGTTCAAGGGCATAAAGAAGGGAGGCGTGACAGAGAACACTTCCTACTACATCTTCACGCAGTGCCCTGATGGAGCCTTTGAAGCCTTCCCTGTCCACAACTGGTACAACTTCACGCCACTGGCCCGGCACCGCACACTCACTGCCGAGGAGGCGGAGGAGGAGTGGGAGAGGTAAGCCTGGGTGCCGGCGATGGGCTCTGGTGCTACCCAGGGCAGACTCAACTGGCCGACACTGCCAAGGGCTGGCAGAGCCAGTGGGAGTGGCCTTGCTTGCTGCAGGAGCCACTATGCATATGTGCCAAGGCCAGTGCCTTGGGTCACTTCCCACCATGGAGCCTGGGGCAAGATGGGCACTCTGGAGGGTCCAGAAACATGGTGTGTGAGCTGGAGCGCAGTGATGAGGGAGGCCTGGATGAAGGTGTGACTGCGGTGTCCCCAGGGCCCTGGGATCACCTGGGATTACAGGCGTGTGCCACCAGCACCTGGCTCCCCCACAGGTTTTTGAGTTGGGGGTTTATCTGTTGCCCAGCCTGGCTCTGAAGTTGAAATCCTCCCACCATGGTTTCCTGAGTGCTGAGATTACCTGTGTGTGCCTGAGTTTGTTTAAATGTTTTGGAACTGCCCATGTTGTGGGGTTTTCAGTGGGCAGTCCCCTGGGGGTGCGTGCGTGTCCACAGGGCTCTGTGATTGTGTCCCCGGCCTGCAGGAGGAACAAGGTTCTGAACCACTTCAGTATCATGCAGCAGCGGCGGCTCAAGGACCAGGACCAGGATGAGGACGAGGAGGAGAAGGAGAAGCGCAGCCGCAAGAAGGCCAGCGAGCTGCGCATCCACGACCTGGAGGACGACCTGGAGATGTCCTCAGATGCCAGCGATGCCAGCGGCGAGGAGGGTGAGCAAGAGCGGTTACGGAGGAGGGACGGGCAGAGGCAAGCATGCCTGATACCTTGAGAAGGTCACTGATTGGCTTCTTCTGTCACTGAGCTAGCTGCTACTCCTGGTGGCCCTAAAGTGTACCGGATCTTGGAGAGTGTGAGGGGAGGGGGCGGGGGGGGGAGCACCAGCTCTATAGGATTTCAGTGGGAAAGCACAGCATAGGATTGGCTCATTTGAACATTCTGGGTCCCCACACCTGGTCCTGGGTGATGTCTGGTGGGATTCTTGGTGTGTGGGGGTGGGCGGTGGGCTCCAGGCTGAGTGGCTGCCTTGTGAGCCCCAGGCGGGTCCCTCTGCCTGTGGGGAGAGTCGGCTCACCCCAGAGCCCAGTCCCCACAGCAAGGCCCCCACCATGTGGCACCTCAGCCTCTCCCACCTGCTCCAGGCAGCAAAGCCCCCAAGAGCAAGAAGAAGGCCCCCCTGAGCAAGGCGGGCAGGAAGAAGAAGAAGAAGAAGGGCTCAGACGACGAGGCCTTCGAGGACAGTGATGACGGGGACTTTGAGGGCCAGGAAGTGGACTACATGTCCGATGGCTCCAGGTGAGGCGGTGGGCGTGGTGGGCACGGTGGGCGTGGCCCCGCCCACACCAGGCTGTCTCTCATTCCCTGTCTTGTGCCACGGCAGCTCTCCAGATGAGGAGGCTGAGGGCAAGCCCAAGGTCACGCAGCAGGAAGAGGGCCCCAAAGGTAGGCAGGGCTGGTGGGGGTCAGCTGGGGGGCTGGGCCTGCACACGTTGTCCCGCTGACGCCCTGACACCCCGCCGCAGGGGTGGATGAGCAGAGCGAGAGCAGTGAGGAGAGCGAGGAGGAGAAGCCGCCCGAGGAGGAAAAGGAGGAGGAGGAGAAGAAGGCGCCCACCCCACAGGAGAAGAAGCGCAAGAAAGGTGGGCTTCCAGCCTGGGGAGGAGCGACACAGGGAGGGCCAGGAGGGCGGGCGGGGGGCCTGACCGCCACACCCACTTGCAGATAGCAGCGAGGAGTCAGACAGCTCAGAGGAGAGCGACATCGACAGCGAGGCCTCCTCGGCCCTCTTCATGGCGGTGAGGCTCGGCTGGTGGGGTGGGCAGGGGCTGGGGGTCTGCTTCTGCTTCTGGACTCAACCCAATGCTATCTGTGCAGAAGAAGAAGACGCCCCCCAAGAGAGAGCGGAAGCCATCAGGAGGCAGCTCGAAGGGCAACAGCCGGCCGGGCACACCCAGCACCGAGGCTGGCAGCACATCGTCCACCCTGCGTGCAGCAGCCAGCAAGCTAGAGCAGGGTGCGGGCGGCCTGCGGGGTCGGTGGGAGGGCCAGGCCTGGGACCCCTGCCCACGTGCCCTGGGACCTCCACCCATGTGCTCCCCCACCCCACGGCTCCAGCCCCTCCACTGCCCCCACAGGCAAGCGCAGCAGCGAGACACCAGCCGCCAAGCGCTTGCGGCTTGATGGGCCGCAAAGCCTATCTGGGAAGTCCACCCCACAGCCGCCCTCGGGCAAGTCCACTCCGAGCAGCGGGTAAGTTCCAGGACTGCAGCATCTGGCCAGGCCCAGTGCAGATCCTCAGTCCCACTGACCCTTGGCCCCCTCGGCTCCCCTGACCCTCGCCCTCTGTCCCCCCAGTGACGTGCAGGTGACCGAGGATGCCGTGCGCCGCTACCTGACGCGGAAGCCCATGACCACGAAGGACCTGCTGAAGAAGTTCCAGACCAAGAAGACAGGGCTGAGCAGCGAGCAGACGGTGAACGTGCTAGCCCAGATCCTCAAGCGCCTCAACCCCGAGCGCAAGATGATCAACGACAAGATGCACTTCTCCCTGAAGGAGTGACCCCCCAATAAATGCTGCTCACACCGCCCCCTGCCATGCATCTGTGCTGCTGAACTCCTGGCCAGAGCCCAGGCGCCGTCCACTCCCTCCCCACTGAGGGAGCCCTGAGGCCAGGAGGCCTCCACCTGCCTCAGGGCACACAGCCCTTTCATGGTTTAGGGAGTCCTCAGTTCTATTTGTTGAGTTTTCTGTGCTGGGGCAGGTTCTGGCCTCACGCAGGCTACCCTTTGGTTTCAGTGTCTCAAGCCTTTGGTGACAGGTGTAACCACTACCCCTTGCTCCCTGCCTATTTTCAGTGACTCCCGTTTTTAAACATTTTTGGTACTGGTTCTGGGGCTTGACTCGGCCTGGGCCCTGTCCCTTCACTTTTCACACACAGCTGGTGCTCTACAGCTCTATTGGGGCTTTTTGCTTGGTGAACTGCAGATGAGTCTTGTTTTCTGCTGGGGCTGGTTTGAACTGTGAGCCTCAGATCTCAGCATGCTGAGCAGCAAGGATTAAAGGCGTGATCCACCAGCAGCCCAGCCTCCATTCTCAGTTCCCAACATCCTCGCTCCCTCTGCACATGGACCGTTGAATTAGGACACTGATGTTGGCCCCTTCCTTCATACTTCTGTATTTTTATTTTAAGCATCTTAATCCCTAGGACTTACCTAGCATCCGCAGGGCTCGGGCAGGCTGCCATCTCCTGTCTTTTTCCCTGACAGGTCCCTTCCTGGGGTGGGGAGTCCTGGCTGGCAGGTAGCTTCTGCCAGCTGAGCAGTGACACATAGGCCTGTGCTAGGTGAAGTTGGGTCTGGCTGCGTGTCCATCAGAGCCCAAACCCTTGTCACTAGGGTAGGTGTCTGAGCCCTGGTTTTCGTCTCCCAGCAACGTTTCTGGGGGTCCCCTTCCTCCCTGTTGGCTTGATGTTACACTGATTCTGTCCGGCACGGCCCGGTGGGCGTTCTGTAGGAGTGGCTGTTCCACATTTCTAGACAGTAACGTGGCTGAGCGGAACCCGCATTCCCAGTGGCCTGACAGGAGGCAGGATGTGGGGATCCCATGGCGGGAAGCCCCATTCTACCATGCTCAAATGCCTGAGGTGACAGGCTAATTCCCAGGAATGTCTGCCCCACCTTCTACTGGCCTGCAGGCCGAGGAGGCAGCTCTGCTCTTGGCCTGCCTTGTGGGCTTTGGTCTAAGGCACCACACTCACCCGGACAGGCAGTGTGACCCAGTGGTGAAGGGCAGGGGCCTTGGGTTCAAGTGCTGGCATGACTGATTTGGGTACTGGGACAGTCACTAACACAGGCTTGTGTTCACGAGGTTCCAGAGATAAAGGCATCATAACTGCTGGGACAACTCCTAAGGCGTTCTTAGGTAGAAGGCCATAATTTGCAGTTGCATTTTTGCCCAAGAGCCCACACAACTACCAATTCTATCAGCTGGCCACACCTAGCAGCATGTTTTGATTCTTGCCAATCTTTTTTTTTTTTTGTCTGTCATGGGGCCTGAACTCTGGGCCTGGGCGCTGTCCCTCAGCTCTTCAGTTCAAGGCGAGTGCTCTACCACTTCAGCTACAGCCCCACTTCCGGCTTTTTCTGCTTATGTGGTGCTGAGGAATCGACCCAGGGCCTCATGCATGCAAGGAAAGCGCTCTACCACTGAGCCACCTTCCCAGCCCCCCCCCCCAACTTTTTTATTTCCTTGCCAGTACTAGGGCTTGAATTCTGGCCCTAGGTACTGTCCTTGAGCTGCTGCTGCTTTTTTTTTTTTTTTTTTTTGGTGGGTCGTGGGGCTTGAACTCTGGGTCTGGGCACTGTCCCTCAGCTCTTTAGCTCAAGGTGAGCGCTCTACCACTTGAGCTACAGCGCCACTTCCGGTTTTACTAGTGGTTTATTGGAGATAGGAGTCTCAAGGTCTTTCCTGCCCGTCTGGCTTTGAACCGAGATCCTCAGGTCTCAGCCTCCTGAGTAGCTAGGATTACAGGCATGAGCCATCGGTGCCCAGCTCTTTTGAGATTCTTTTTTTTTTTGGTGGGTCGTGGGGCCTGAACTCTGGGCCTGGGCACTGTCCCTCAGCTCTTCAGCTCAATGCTAGTGCTCTACCACTTGAGCCACAGCGCCACTTCCGGCATTTATTCTTTTTGCTTATGTGGTGCTGAGGAATCAAACCCAGGGCCTCAGGCATGCAAGGCAAGCGCTTTACCACTGAGCCACCTTCCCAGCCCCACTTCTGACTTTTTCTGTGTATGTGGTACTGAGGAATTGAACCCAAGGCTTCATACATGTTAGACAAGCACTCTACCACTGAGCTACATTCCCAGCTCTCCTGCCAATCTTGTGAGGTGTCCCGTTTTAACTTTTTTTTTTTGGCTGGTACCCTATATAGGACCCCCAGTTCTCTTGCTCACACTTCAGGCTTTTTGGTGCTTAATTGGAGAGAAGTCTCATTGACTTCCCTGCCTGAGCTGGCTTCAAACTGTGATCCTCAGATCTCAGCCTCCTGATGTGAGCCATGGATGCCTGCCTTCACCTCTTTGGTGCTTGGTTGGTACCAAGCACCTCAAATGGGAAACAAGCATATTTAAGTCCTTTGTCTTAAAAGTTATCTGGAGTTCTGTGCGAAGCACTGCACTGCCACTCGATGCCACCTCCCTGGGCTGCACCAGGACGGGCACAGAAGGTACCAGATCCTGTATCTGGCCATGACCTTGCATGTCGGACCCTATAAGTGTCAGTGTTTTGGCGACCCTAAGATGGGGCTATGGCCATGAGGTCCTCAGGTTGGCCTTCCAGGAAAGGGAGTCCCTGGCTGCTGTGTCCAAGCCCTGGGCTGCCACCAGGCCTCTCCTTTTTCCTGTTTTGAAGCTGGCTCAGCCAGGCCCGGAGACAGATCATGATATGTTGATCCAGGCAGGAGCCAAGAAGGGCCTGAGCAGCTCAAGCCCCTCCCAGCACATTGCCCCAGCCTGGGGGACACCAGGGGTGCTCCTGAGCTACCTTCACAGGGAGGGGACCCCACTGAGGGACTCTGTCCCCATCTCTCCCAGCAGATAGTGGAGCAGGGACACTGGATGCCTGTGCGGGGCTTGGCCTTGGCTGCATGCATGACACTCGTAAATCAGGGGGCATCAGGGGTGTTGGAGATGGGTGTGTGGAATGTCTGGGTGGGTGGGGTGGGGGTGAGCCCATCACTGTTAGGAGGAGCAGGGTCTGGGGGGGGTGATGGATAGGAGTAGAGGCTGAGCCCTGAGTATGTAGGGGTGAGCTGGGCGGGACTTGGTACCTGCCCTTGGCTACAATGGCTGGTGGTGAAGAGGTTAAGTCCCCAGTGAGGCCCGGGAATAAATTGAGGGCCCAGGACTCCCCTAGCCCCAAGACCTGTCACAATGGCCACAGGGAGAGTCCTGTGTGTGTGTCTGCTCTTCCTGTCACTGCAGCTGGGGCTCAGCTGGAGCCTGGACGCCGCTCAGCAGGCTCCAGTGCCTACAGGGCAAGTCTTGTCTGAGCAGCCGAAAGAAACTGGAGGGACCCGGAGGCCACCACTAGGTAAGGACCCCCCGAAGACCCCCCAATGACTTCCCATCACCTTTCTGCTGACACCTGCCCCGAGTCAATGCTTTCTCTCCCCCAGGTGCCCCCCACCCCCAGCTCCGCCCTCGCCGAGCCCCGGCCACTGCGTGCCAGCTATGGAGCCTGACCCTGCCGGTGGCTGAGCTGGGCTTGGGCTATGCCTCAGAGGAGAAGGTCATCTTCCACTACTGCGCTGGCAGCTGCCTCCGTGGTGCCCGCACCCAGCACGGCCTCATGTTGGCCCGGCTGCGGGGCCAGGGCCGAGCCCACGGGGGACCCTGCTGTCGGCCCACCCGCTATGCTGATGTGGCCTTTCTCGATGATCGCCTCCGCTGGCAGCGGCTGCCCCAGCTCTCAGCGGCTGCCTGTGGCTGTGGCTGAGGGTGACCAGCCACCCGGGTGCCCCGGAGCCATGAGTAGAAGAGCTACGGCTTGAAGAGCTCACTTGGCTAATATTTATTGGAGATCGGAATACAGAAAAGACTAGAAGGAAGGGGAGATGGGCAGGGGCACCATCAATGAGTGTAATAAAGAAGCTGCTCTCCTGGCCTTGTGACTGTGTGGCGTGTACCCTGACCAGCCAACATGGCACCAGGTGGGCCGATGCTGCCCTGTGCAGGCCTCAGGACCTGCAGGCAGCCAGTGGAGGATGGCTGGGCTGTTCCTTCTCCAGCTTCATCCAAAAGTCTGGGGACCAGCCTGGCCATCAGCAGGCTCGGGGTGGCTGCTGCCCTGGCCCTGTGCCCTCAGGGAGGGAACGGCAGATCACAGAGATGCGTCGGCCCCGGGGAATGCGACGCTCCCCGAAAAAGGACTCTTCATCCCGAAGGATCTCATGGGAGAAGTCATAACGGGCCGCACCCCTGTATGAGAAAACTGGCTGTGAGTAGGTACCAAGGACTGCTCCGTCCCAGGTAGACCAGGTCTGGGTCTCTCTGCTGCCCCTGGTGCCTGCCCAGGGTAATTGCAGTGTCGCCATGAGGACCGAATGAAGTTCTCAAAGTCAAGGTGGGCACCTGGCATGTCCTTGGAGGTAGGGCCGTACCTTAGGATGTAGAGAGAGCCTGGCTCCAGCAAAAGTTCCAGCCACTGCTCTGGCTCCTGGGTGTGCACCAGCCGCATGACACTGGGAGACAGCAAGGACAGGCCAGCAATAGTGGCCCCACAGAACTGGAAGAGGGCATGGGGTGGGTCAGGCTCTAGCCTGGTCTGTGCACCTCAGCTGAGGGCTCGGAGCCACTGGGTCTCTGCCCACCTTAACACTGTCCACGTGGGGCTTGATGTAACCTTGGGGCTCCAGGTCCAGCACGTGCACTGGGGACAGGAGAGTCTGGCCAGGGCCAAAGGCAGCTGACTGTACTCGCTGCAAAATATTTCGGCTTGCTTCTGACCAGCGGGACTTCTCTGTCTCCCGGAAGCCGTGGATGGCCTGCACAGAGAGTTGAGGGTCAAGGGCTGGGCTCAGCCATGAGCGTGTGTTTGGCATGAGCAAGGTCCTGGGTTTTATCTCCAGCAATGATAAATAAAATTCAGTAGAGGGCTCAGGTCAAGCCTGGAAGCTGGGGATGAGAGACCAGGATGAGAGGGAGGGGCAGAGTCCAGGACAATGGACTGGTTTTCCCATCATGACCACAGTCCTTACCTTCATCCTTCCATGCCTTAATCTAGGCATGAAATCTATAGGCCCCTATAACCTAGCATTAGGTACAATCCTAGCAATTTCTGAAATCCCCACGGGATCTCTGCCCAAGGTCCAGTCCCACCCCAAACGCTGCTCCTTCGCACATCTCCTTCCACATCGTTTTCTGCCTCTACCCTTGGGCCCTAACAACTCCTGGGACCTCCAGGATCCTGTCTCCAGTTGTGTCCCTGCCCTCATTCCCAAGATGTTCTCAGGTCCCCAGGTTCCCCATCCCTCAGCTCCCAACCCTCTGCCTGAATTCCAGGCTCCGCCCAGCCACAGATCCGTCCCGTAGACCCCTAGTTTTAGGTGCCACCCACAGCATAGCCCAGCGGCCTCCGGGAGGCCTCTGGTTCCCAGTCCCAAAGCAGCGTGTCCCGCCCCCGAGACCACAGGCTCCGCCCCCACTCTAGGTATCCTCCGGATGGCCCCGCCCCGCGGCCTAGCCCCACCCACCTGAAAGTGTTCCGATGGCCCCGCCCCAATACAACCCCGCCCCGCTGTTCTAGGCCCCGCCCCCGCCGGAAGCACCGTTCCCACATGGCCCCGCCCCCAGCACGACCTCGTCCTCGCCGGCCTCACCGCGTCCCAGTGATCATATTCATAGCGGCGGCGGCGCAGTTCGGGTTCCAGCTCGCAGCTCAGCGTCTCCTCCTCGGCCTTGCTCAGGAAGCCAGGCCGCACCACAGCCGCATTCTTCAGGCGACTCAGTACCGCTGGGCACGAGCCCCGTACCCAGCCAGACCCAGTTAGCGTCCGCAGCGCCAGCCCTCCACTCCCGGCCATAGCCCTCCTGGCCCGGCCGTGAGAGGCCCGAGTTCGGGCCACGCCCTCTCTATAGAGCCATTGGCTGTAGTCCGCCAGGCACCCCCAGCGATTGGCTTTTCTCAGAGTCCCGCCTCTTGCTCCTTGCTCGTCCTCCCAAGCTTCTGGCTCCTTTAGAGCCCGCCTCCTTTAGTCAGTTGCTTAGATTTCATTGGTTGTGTCCAAAGTCGGTCGGCAGCTCGGCCTCAGCACCGTCTCTTTTATTCTGACCTCCTACCCGGTGTCTGGGCGCCAAGGGCTTGAGTCTTTGGGAGATTTGGGATAAAGCCAATGTTATGGAATTGGCTAGGGTTAGAGGTCAATGGCAGAATACAAGCACAGTGAGATGAAGGCTCAAGTGTCAGGCGGCCCAGTTTGCAGAGTAGAGGGTTGGATCAAAGGTGAAAGCAAGACTTCATTTTTGTCCCCTTCTCGATAGTTTTGGGGCTTTTTAAAATTTATTTTTGCCAGTCCTGGGGCTTGAACTCAGGGCCTGAGCACCGTCCCTGAACTTCTGCTCAAGGCTAGCACTCTACCACTTGAGCCACAGCACCACTTCTGACTTTTTCTGTGTATGTGGTATGAAGGAATCAAACCCAGGGCTTCATCCATGCTAGCAAGCACTCTACCAATGAGCCACCTTCCCAGCCCCAAGCAGCTTGGTTTTGCAGACTGAGTTTTCTCCTTCTACCCAAGTGCTAAAGCCCAGCTTCCTCTCAGTCCACCATTCATCTTCAGCTGGATGACTTCATTGCTGTCAGACCACTCTCCCCCGCCTGCCATCCCACAACTCCACCTCACTCAGACGCCACTGTCCTTGTCTTTCAAAATCTTACATGGTGACATTACTCTGTGGTGTGGCCATGCTTTCTAAATAAAACAGGGTTACATCTGTAATTCCAGGCTGACTTTGAACTCCAGAGTGCTAGATTACATGCATGAGCCATCATGCCTAGCTCCCTCCTCCTTGGGGAGTGGGAGTTAGAGGATTGTATGGGGTCTAAACTCAGGGCCTTATGTTCTGTTGTTTGGCTTGCCTAGTTTGTGTGTGTGTGTGTGTCAATTGTGGGGCTTGAACTCTGAGCCTGGGCGCTGTCCCTGAGCTCTTCAACTCAAGGTTACAGCTCTACCACTTCTGGTTTTCTGGTGGTTTATTGGAGATGAGTCTCACAAACGTTCCTGCCGGGGCTGGTTTTGAACCACAATCCTCAAATCTCAGCCTCCTGAGTAGCCACAATTAAAGGTGTGAGACACCAGCACCCAGCCAGGCTAGCTTTTTAATTTTTATTTTTGCCAGTCCTGGGCTTGAACTTTGGGCCTCAGTGCTGGGAGCTTCTCTTTTGCTCAAGGCTGGTACTCTACCACTTGAGCCACAACATCACTTCTGGCTTGTGTATGTGGTACTGAAGAATTGAACCCAGGATTTCATTCATGCTAGGTGAGCACTCTATCACTAAGCCACATTCCCAGCCCAGCCTAGCTTTTTGCTGGTCATTTTGGGAGACTCTCATGGACTTTTCTGACCAAGCTGGCTTTGAAATTTGATCCTCTGCCTCCAATTTTTGTTGTTGTTGGTGGTGGTCGTGGGACTTCAACTCTAGGCCTGGGCACTGTCCTTCAGCTCTTCAGCTCAAGGCTAGCACTTAACACTTGAGCCACAGTGCCACTTTGGGCCTTTTCTGTTTATGTGGTACTGAGGAATTGAATCCAGGGCCTCATGCATGCGAGACAAGCACTGTACAGCCGAGCCACCTTACTAGTCTCTTTAGCCTCCAATTCTTGATTGTCCCTCCTTCTATCTCCCTTGGCAACTGGCCTCATGGTTTCCCCACAGACTAGACACAGGTCTGCCACAGGGCTCTGGCATTGGCTGTGCCCTCTACCTGGATTACTCCTTTCTAGTGCACACATGTGGCCCCTCCTTTGACTTCTCGAATGTCACCTTCTTGGCAAGGCCTTCCCTGACCACTTCATTTAGAATTGCAGCTTCCCTTTCTGACTGCCCCACGAGGACACAGTGAGCCATCCGAAGCCCCTGTTTGTGTTTCCTCTCCAGCCCAGGCCTTAAGTAAATGCTGAGGAGTTTGCAGAGGAAGGGTTAATTCAAGAATTGGAGTGAGGGGCTGGGAAGGTGGCTCAGTGGTAGAGCGCTTGCCTTGCATGCATGAAGCCCTGGGTTTGATTCCTCAGCACCACATAAGCAAAAAGAAAAAAAAGCCGGAGGTTGTGCTGTGGCTCAAGTGGTAGAGTGCTAGCCTTGAGCTGAAGAGCTGAGGGACAGCGCCCAGGCCCAGAGTTCAGGCCCATGACCAGAACCTCCCCCCCAAAAAAAAGAATTGGAATGAGGAGCACAGAGCGGTCAGAGGCTGGGTTGCACCCGGGAGTGAGCACATTGTCACAGGGCAGTGAGCCAAGGTTTGTGTAGAAGATCACAAAGATTTAATTTAAAATCACAGTGTCTCAGCCAGGCTGCCCACCAAGGGGGCATCCCAACGTCCAAAGTTCCTTGAGAGGTCCCTCTGAGCCCTGCAGCAGGGGCCTGGCACTCAGGTGCTGGCCGGGGCAGGTGGCTCTGTTGGTGGCGTAGTAGGCTCCTTCTGAACCAGCTCTGGCTCATCCTCACCATCCTGGGGCGGGTGGACCAGGACCTTGTCCAAGATGCCAAACTCCTGTGCCTCCATGGGGCTCATGTAGCGGTCCCTCTCCATGGCCGACTCTGTGGGAGGCAGAGCACCCAGTAAGAGCAGAAGCCTGGAGCCATGTGCACAGCTCCCCAAACTGCTGTGTGGAACTGCCAAGCCCCCAGAGTAGGATGGTATTTGGAGAGGGGGCCTGGGTAAGTCCTGAAGTCATAAGGGTGGGGTCTCCAGGTATGGCGTTAGTGCCCTTGTCAGAAGAGAATGCTGTGTGTGTGCGCGCGTGTGTGTGTGCGCGCGTGCATGTGCGCGCACATGAGCGCATGTGTACTTGTACTGGGGCTTGAACTCAGGGCCTGGGCATTGTCCTTTAACTTTCATTTTTGCTAGTTAACTGGAGATAAAGAGTCTTACAGACTTTTCCTGCTTAGGCTGGCATGGAACCATGATCCTCAGATCTCAGCCTCCTGAGTTGGTAGGATTACAGGGGTGCAAAAGAGACTTCTTACAGGCCAGGGAAAGGTCATGTGAGGATGAGGGGAGAAGGCAGGCAGTCATCTGCAAGCCAGCGATCAGTCCTGTGGAACCATAACCTTGGACTTCTAGCCACAAGCTAGGGAGACAGTCCTGGTTCTGGCAGGCCTGGTGTGGCCTTAGCTTCCCTTCTGCATCTCGTCTCCCTGATTTCAGTTTTTCTTTCCCACTTTGTATTAGACCCACGTGACCAACATCCCCATCAGCAGGTAGGAGGAACAGCATTGGCCAGCACACCCTGACGCCCCAGTGAGACCAACTCTCACCCCTACCCCTATCACCTGCTCCCCACACCTCAGAACAGGCTCCGTTGTGACAGCACACAGCCGCTGTTCCTGCTGTGGAGCTGTGGGGACTTGCTAGGCAGCCCAGGCTGGCTTTGGATCCTCCTCGGGGTCCTCTCGAGTGCTGGGGTCACAGCCGTGACCAGCATGCCCTTCCTGATTTTACTATGGTTTAGGTTTAGGTAACTGTGGTGAGAGCATCTGCTTGTGTTTCACTAGCTGTGGGGGAGATTCCTCCATGTTATGGCGCTCCTCAGGGGTGATGCTGAACCTGAGAGTACTGAGGCAGAAGTAATGCACATCTTGCATGAGCACAGTGGACTGGGGGCAGGACAGGCAAGATGGCCACCACTGGCACCCCTGGGAGCATTGCTGAGAGAGGAGGGCTCTGTTCTCATGACGCTAGGGGTGGGGCCTGTGTGGGGCGGGGCCAGCTTGGGTACTCACCAATCACCTGCAGGCTCTGCTTCGTGTGCTTGGCATAGATGTTGTACAGCTGCCTCTTGAGCTTCAAGATCTCCTCTGCTTGGATGGCGATATCTGTGGCTTGGCCCTGGGGGGTTGAGGTAAGAAGATGAAGGCTGGACTTTGGAGGAATTTCTCAGTCCCCTCAGATCCTGCTTGGTCTTCCCAATCATATACTTTTTTTTTCTGTTCTTTTGTCAGTCATGGTGCCTGAATTCTGGGCCTGGGCACCGTCCCTCAGCTCCTCAGCTCAAGGCTAGCCCTACCACTTGAGCCACAGCATCACTTCCAGTTTTTTCTGCTTATGTGGTGCTGGGGAATTGAACCCAGGGCCTCATGCATGCAAGGCCAAGCACTCTACCACTGAGCCACCTTCCCAGCCCACTTCTTTTTTTTCTTTACTGTCATACGGCGGGATGAACCCAGGGCCTTGTGCATGCTGGACCAGCGTTCACCTTTCACCTTGAAACCTGTGGTGGCTCCTTCCTGGAATCCCAGCTATTCAGGAGTCTGACATCTGAGGATGGAGATGCAAAAAGCCAGCAGAAAAAGTCCAAGATACTCTTAATTCCAACTAATCAGCAAAACATCAGACTGGAGGCATGGCTCAAATGGTAGAGGACCAGCCCAGTGAGTGCAAGGCCCTGAGTTCAAACCACTGTAGCAGCAAAAAGATAAAATCTAGACACTATACCAGATTTCTGCCCAATCACTGCTGTCTAGATCTCCCTCTGTACCGAGAGAGAGAGAGAGAGAGAGAGAGAGAGAGAGAGAGAGAGGGAGGGAGGGGCTTCTAGACCTTCACTCACCCGGGCGCCCCCTGAGGGCTGGTGGATCATGATGCGGGAATTGGGGAGTGAGTGTCGCATTCCAGGGCTGCCAGCAGCAAGAAGCAGAGAGCCCATGCTGGCAGCCTGACCCACACACCACGTGCAGATGGGGTTCAGTATGTACTGCATGGTGTCGTAGATGGCCAGGCCAGCCGTCACTACGCCACCTGCAGACAGAGGTGCAGGAGAGGGGTCATGTCTCTCCCACCCCACTCCACCCCAGTCCTGGGAAGGGCTCTGAGAAGTGTCATTGCCAGCA